TCGAGAAGAGTGATTATCTCGCTGTTGCCGAGATAATTGCTTCAGTTTCGTGATTCCTTCATGAATCAACAAAGCTCCGGATCTGATCTGATTATTCGATGGTCCACGGATATCAACGTCGCTGTCACAGGCCAAGATCCCACGTAAACAGCGGGCGATAAACATCCGTTGCGCTATTTGACGAGAGTTGTACTTTTTTGTTTTCATTGTGTAAAGATCTTATAAAAAGACTAACTTTTGTTTTCATTATAACGTTTGAAATTGTAATGAACACAGCAATGAACAAATCGTCTTTCTCCCCAAATATCGGTCAAAATACGAAATCTCAAAAACACATGATTTTGACAAAATGATTTTAAATAAGTTTTAAACTTCTTTTAAATGGATTAATAGACTTTATAAAAGATATAAACCAATATTGTTAAGTCTATAATCCTCAAACACAATATTTTCCAAAACAGAGATGATAAATATGAAACGAGTATGTATGTATATACATATAACTATTTGTTTCATATTTATATGAATAAGCTTGAAGGCTGTAAAATGAAAACGTGTATGTGTAAAAACGTTGAGCTTTTAGTATTAATACATAAAGTACAAAACCAAACTAGAAACAATATACCTAAGCTAAAAGTCTTCATTTGAGCTCGATGTTGAACGATTCTCAGCTTAGTAGGGGATGAAGCACGATGTCGTATTTGACTTGAATTGCGACGGCTTCACTCCAATTTCCTTCCATCCTCCAATGGATATGATCGTGTAGGCACAAGTCTAACCAACCTTTGACTGAGGATCTTTGTGTAGAATACCTAACAATCAAATGAAAACACTCGACAAATATTGTTAGGAATTGTTTGTTAATCATCAAAACTAGATTAGATAGTAGGCTCATAAACATGAGACTTAACACACTCAATCTCCATTTTTTAAAGTCACAAACAACATTGCCAACCTCTTGAAGGGGAAAAAATTACTGGTAACATATGAAGAGATGGACACACACAAATGTTAATTTCAAAATTTTCAAACAAAGTGCATTATCTTTGTGCATTAGTCCAATCATCCTCCATTGGCATTCCGTCACCTACATGACCATTATTAAGTTCATATTTAAAAAATGGATCATCTTCACCATACCTTTCTTAAGCTTTTTCATATTTTTAGTTGTGTCCAACATAAAAAAGGTAGAGTTCCACCTAATGCACACATCCAAACACAAATATAAACTAAATTTAAGTTTTTCAAGTTCAATGCAATTATTAAATTTAGCCAATCTTGATGGAGTCTGTCTCACATATATAACGGTTGAACGAACTCGAGCAATTGAGACTCCCAAGTCTTTAAGCCCATCACTAATGACAAGATTAATAATATGAGCAATAGAGCTCATTTAAAGGTATCTTCTACCTAACATTGCCCCTACCTATTTTTTAACCCTCTTCTTTCGGTATGTAATCATCGTGTTATTTGAGCTATCATTATCAACAGTGATAGTGAAAATATTCTCAATTCCTCAGTCTGCTAAGCACTTCTCTGTCACCTTCCCAAAATCATCTCCCCTACGACTAGAAATTGGATTAAAGTTTATTATTATTTTGTTCAACTTCTAATCATCATCGATCCAATGTGCATCCAAACACATATAGTTAACATTTTGGATGGAAGTCCATGTATATGTGGTAAAACACACTCTTTGGCATGTAGCCTTCAATAAATTCTACAAGTTTTTTTCCTATCAAGATAAATCTCGTAAATCTCTTTGGATGTCCAACGAGAAGGAACATAAAATCTAGGGCAAATAGCGAAGATAAAATATTGTAGTTCGATACCCTATACCAATTTAAATGAAAGCTCATCAGCAACAATAAAACAACCGAGGGCTTTTCTTACAGCTCTTTCATCATAACTCTAGTTACCTAGACTTCACATCTTATCACTACCACCCAAAATCACGTTGCAAACTCAATAGTTTTTGCCTGTTGCCAATTTACGTGGAGTTTTTTTACAGGTTTCCGTGTGATTATGTAAACATGTAGTTCCATTTTTGTTTGCATGGGCAAAATGTTCCTTTGATAGCAATTACATTTTGCCTTAGGATCATTGTTCTTATCCTTAAACATTGTTCTTATCCTTCAATTCTGTGAAGTGATTCCATACCTCTGATCTTTCTTTTATTGACTTTCTTTTATTTTGGATCTTCTGTTAAGAGGAATTAGCATCCACTTGATTTCTAGTTGTACTGACATTTTTACTTTCCTCTAATGGAACTCGAACCTATAAAATCAACCAATATATAAACATCTTTAAGTTGTCATCTCAAAACAATGTGAGATTTTTATAAGTAGGTGTCCTACTGTAGATAAAAGTGATCCAATAATATACTTTATCAATAATCTCTATTCTCGGACAATTGAATTTAATTTATAGAAGTAAATTTATGTGATATAATTAATTAGTTTAATTAAAATTGTTGCGCACATGCCACACATTAGACATGTGATGTGAGAACTAAGAACGTGTGAATTAAATTTATATTATATAGATAAGCCATGTAGTTCTTTTTAGCTTAGATCTTTTGAAGATATTCATGTACACATCAATTTGATTTTTAATCTCTTTCATCATTGACTCTTGACCATCAAAATCAAACATGAATTTTCAATAAAAAAACTATCAAAACTTTGAAAGATATTTATGACTCCTGTGATGACAAGTCCAATATCAAAGATGGATGTTGAGGAGGTTGTGGACCTTGTGGTTGCTCTACCATGATAAAGTTATCGAAGCATCATAGAGATCAGAATTTTTAGTTGCAAAGTTTTTAAGGTTTACTGCTAGGAAAGGAGATGAAGAAGATGAGTGTGGGAGACGAATGGTTTCTTCATTTTTGTGTGAATAAATTGGAGAAAATATGTCACGCAATTAGCAATTAGTTAACTTAAACACGATCTCAAACTTAAATGAGTTTTGATATATTATGACCTTATAATTCAAAACCACACTCAATACAGTAAATCACGAATACATTATATATCGATCAATTCGGATAAGTCGAGTCGAAAATTTGTCAAACCTGCCCTAACCAAAAAAATAATAATTTAAACTGACCCGAATTGCCAAAATTTTGGCAGTTCGGGTGGTTTCTTTGGTTTCGGCCTAATTATGCTCTAGCCTACTTATTATGTATGAGCTATTAACTATGCATTTATTCCCTTGCCATTTTTTGAGTAACAAATGTCTGCTTAAATAACTGGGGGCTGGGTTTACAGATGGAATGCAATATTGTTACGATCAGTAACAAGGTCAGGCTTTCCAAACACGCTCAGTCCATTTTATTAGGGGGGGTTATTTGTTGGTGTAATTTTGGGGTAAGTAGGATAATTTTTGGAACTTTACTTTATGGTGTTATTCATTGGGACAATGAGATTGAGATTTTACTTTAATGTGTTATTAATTGGGACAATGAGATTGAGACAGTTACCCCCACTTTTCTCAAAATTATCCCACTCTTATACAAACTTTTTGTCCCAACCTTTAAAAATTACTCCATTCTTAACTTTGGGACAATTATGAGGAAAGTGAGATAATTTTAAAGCACTAATTTATTAAATATCTAATATATGTTAATTGTATTATAATATATAATAAATCTTAATTATATTATATTATAAAATTCTATTATAATGTATAATAAAATATTATATAATTATCTAATATAACATTATTACAGATTGGTTAATAATATTTTTATATTATAATATTAGTATTATAATATTATAATATTACTTTATATTATTTAGTATATATTTTATTAGTTAGAATGAAAATATTATTGTAGTATATTTATGACATAAAATATTATATTATATAAAATAGTTGTTTATATATTTAATATAATTAATATATTAATTATAGTTAATTTATTATATAATAATTTACATATTTGTCTATTTTATACTTTATTAATAATTAATAGTCTTAAATATATTGTTAATGTTATGGTAGTATTATAATATTAAATAAATATTTATTACTATAATAAAAATTATAATAAATTACTTATTATTACAAGTATGATAATATATATATAAAATTAAATATATATTATATTATTTTAATAATATTTTTAATTAATAATTTTTATCATATTAATAGTATATTATGATTATTATAAATATTATATTTTAATAAAGAGCCATGTCATCAATTATTCTATTTTAATTATAGTAATTATCTTAAAATAAAATAAAATATTATATTTTTAATAATAATTTAATATTTTAAATAATATTATATTGAATTCAACAAAATATTATAATATTTGGTTAAATATTATATTAAATATATTATTTGTATATTATATCAATTATTATAGAATATATCATATTATTATAATATATTATATTAAATTAATTAATAACTATAAATATAGTTATAATTAATTAGTAATTATAATATAATATATTATAGTTTAGTATAAAGTAAAATATTATATTATATTATATTATAATAACATACCAAATAATATGCTAAACCAATTAGTTAAATTAATTTAGACTTAATTGATAGATAAATATTGTATTTTAATAGGGTGACATATCATCAATTATCTCACATGAATTGTCAAATCAAAGCTTTAAATTGTTCCATTATCCTAAATTGTCTCACTTTACACTACTTAAAAATATCCCGAAGGGATAAATTTGTTCCACTAGAATAATTATCATACTTAGCCCCAACTTGTCCCAACCAATAACCCTATTTAGCCAATTTATCAAAACAAATTATAAAAAAAAGAACTAAAGAAAAAGTAAGTAAAAAAATCGAACAGCAAGTTCTAATCCGACGGTCAGGATCCATCGTGTCCGTACACTCGCACGTTATTCACGAGAAACGCCGCCGCTACCGAAGAAATGACTTCCTCTAATTACAATCCTACCCCTATATCCGTTCATAATTTATTAACCGCAATAAATTATTTAAAAAAAAGGAAAAAAAGGGAAAAAATGCATTTTTATTTCCGATATAGCAAGAACCCCTGAAACCGAGCAAAAGTTGCTCTCTGAAAACTTGACGAAATTGGCAAACAATCAGAAGAAAATCCGGAGAAGAAATTCCAAATGGTTTCAGATGGCGAGCTCGTGGATCGCCTGCGATCGTTCCTTCGGGCCTCCGATCTCAACACGACGACCACCACCGGCGCCGTCCGCCGCCAGCTGGAGGCGGACTTCAATGTCGATCTCAGCGAGAAGAAGGCCTTCATCAGGGAGCAGGTCGATCTGTTCTTGAGCGAGCTCGAGAACGAGAAGAAGGAAGAAGAAGAGAAGGAGGAGGAGAATGATGAGGAGGAGAATGGAGTGAAGGAAGAGGAGGAGGAGGAGGAAGAAGAAGACGAGGAAGATGAGGAGGAGGAAGAGGAGAGGAGCAATGGAGGGAGAAGCAGAAAGCGAAGGTGAGCTCAGTTTTCTTTCAAATTAGGGTTTCGTTTCCCCTAATTTGGGTTCTAGGTCATATGCATGTTTAAGTTTTGTGCATTCTGGTGGAATTTGGGAGTGGCTGTGATTAGTTACTATGTATGGTTGAGGTGAAACAAAAGGATTTTATTTTGAACTGTAAATATGTAACTTTTCTAAAAAATTTTAAATTTGTCAAATTAAGGTTAATTCTAACCATTGTGAGAACAGGTGATTATTGTCTGAGGTGCACAAATAGTTGGTTTTATGATTAATGAAGTTATGAACTAGACCTGCAGACTTTTTGCCTTTTTCCATTTTGATGGCCTATGATACTCTGAAATTCTTTAGTTTAAGTTTACGTTGCCAGATGCATTACATGTTTATGGATGTAATGGTGTTTCCAACGTACTTGGTTAGATGATTATTAGAGATATGAACTAAACTTGCAGACTTCTACCTTTTCCCATTAGAATGATCTGTGATACTCTTGAAACTATAGTTTAAGCTTAGTTTGCCAGCTGCATTACATGTGTAGGATGAAATGATGTTTCGAACATAGTCTTAATTAGAGGAAGAAGTGATACATCAGGCACCCCTTTGAACTTTGATATGTAGTAGGAATCATGCGTAATATTAGTTTCGATAAATAATATGTATGTCTTAAATAGAACAAAGAGGAATGTTACAATAGCATTTTCTCTCTTTACTTTATATATACAAATAGATTATAGAGAAGAAGAGAGAGAAAGGAGGATAGATGCTCATTCGATTCAGTAACTTTCGGGGGGCGAAGACATCATAGTATTTACAATTTAAGGCTCATAGGAGCTAGGTTAGGATTTTTACGTAAAGAATGCTTGCACTAGAGACACTGTTGTGTTTGATTGACATGCAGATCACCCCAACTCCACTTTCCTTGGCTTTTACAACATAAAATATAGGTAGATAGGACAATTTCTTCTACATAAGACAAATAGAGTACTTACGCATTTCATTTCTAGGACACTTCCATTTTCTCTTCGATGCACCATACATCTTTTAGGATGAAAATTTAAGGGTGTGTTTGGTAATCGAGGTGTTTGTTTTTGTTGTGTTTTTTAGAAAAACATAATGCCATGGTTTTTTTTTTCAAATATGTTTTGAAAACACCATTTATAGTTATTATTTATAAAACGGTGGCGGCCGGCCGGCGGACGGCGCGACGGGAGCGCGGTCAAGACAGACGCGTCCCGGCGGTCGTGGTCAGTGAGCAGGTCAAAGCAGCGACGGCTGACTGGCGGGTGGCACGGGCGGCGGGCGGACGAGCGGGACTAACCAGACGACGACCGTCGGCTGCCGACAGCCGGCGATGGGCGAGCGACGGGCGGGTGGCGGGCGACGAGCGGGTGGAGCGGCGGGGCAGACGACGAGCGCGTCGCCGGCGCGGTGCTCGGCGGATGGTCGGTAGGCGGATCGGTAAGCGGGCCGGTGGCTAGGTTAGCCTGGTGAGAAGATAGGAACGGTGGCGGGTGTAAGGGGCGGGCGGCGGAGATAAGGAGGCGGGCCAGGCAAGTGGCGGTAGGCCGACGATGGGCGGCCCGGATGATAAGGCGGCTGATGTCAGCCGGGCAGGGGCGCGAGGCTGACTAGTCGCTAAGCGGCGGCTGACATCAACGGCGGGCAGGCGGCAGGGCGATTGCGGATGACGTGCCTGCTGCCCGGGTGGGCGTAGAGGCGGCGAGCGGCGGGCCGGGACGAGCGGGTGGGGGGGCGCCTACGGCGAGCGACAGGCAGGGGCGATGGCGACTTAGATGAAAAAACGGAATCTTAAAACACCTTTTTGGTGTTTAGAGAAAAATGTTTATTTTTTGAATTTTGTAAAGGGGCAAGTCAAAAAAACGTCCCGGTTGCTAAACGCGTTTTATTGTTTTTGTTAAAAATAAAAATAGAAACGACAAAAACTCCACGGTTGCCAAACGCTCCCTAAGAGAATAGGTCAGCATATAAGTTATAGATGGTTAGAATCAAGATGAGGAAGCTAAGGTTTCAGAGTCTCTGCCCTCCTTCTCCCTTTACCTCCCTCTCTTTCCTTTCTCCCTACTTCCTGTCCGCAGGTAAGTGTGACTTTCATTGAGTTTTGCCAGTGAAAATCTCATGAGGATGTTTCTACTTCTATTTTCCAGATACTTGTTTTGTTTTCGTGTAATTATGTCCATTGTAGCTTATATCATCAAATGGATTAGATCAAAACTTGAATGGGTTAGATCATTTTAGTGTGGAAAAGACTGCTGAGTATCAATCTATTTCTTAGTACTGAAATAGAGAATAAATTAAGAGGATAATAACAAGATACTAGACAATAATCAGGAAAATGCTAATTGTGTTGACAACCTCACTGCAATTTCACAAGCTTCAACATTCACCATGGTAACAGGGAAACTATCAATTCTCACTTGTAACTAGAAGGTCTGCAATCCTCATTGTTGTAATCTTGCTTGTCAAGCTTACATTAACTGCAACAGGCCGAAAAACTTATGCTTGAATGCTAGTGGAGAAGTTGAAGAGAGGATGAGAAATGAAAAGTGAAGTTGAAATGGATACCTAATCTGCACTATTGGCGGACATGGTAGATGGCAACAGAGGGAGGGTTATTGTTCTTTTTGTTGGTAAACATGATAAAATTTGGGTTTCCCTGGTGAAACCACCTATAGGAGCATACTGGTAAATAAAAAAGTAGGCCCCATGATATCATAAAGGACAATAGGGGTCGTGCTAAATGCGTGCTAAATGTGGCAGTCACTTGGCGGTCACAGTTGGTGGCAGTCACTAACCTAGTAAGGAAATAAACAGGATGGTCTGGGAAGTTTGTATGCTGAAGTGCGTATATCCCAGCTCAAGGCACAACGCAAATTGTGTGTAAGGATAAGCTTCAGTTGGAAAAGTTTAAAAATTAGAGTTTTATCAATATAGACTATATATATATATATAGATAGAGAAAAATGGGTATGCTTGATACTAAGCACAAATTTTATGCTTGGTAGTGAGGTGTCCTATTCCCATCCACTTATTCCAATTCCCAACCACTCCCCAGCCCATGTGAATGTGGGCCCCGATTTTAATGAGTGGAGGGGAATATGCTACCTCACTACCAAGCAAAAAAACTTGTGCTTGGTACTAAGCATATCCATAATATATATATATATATATAGTATATTAGAGAGAGAGAAGAGAAGAGAGAAAATTTTATGTCAACATTAAGTGGACCATCCACACAACAATTTTCTATCCAAATTGATGGATACCTAAGGGATCCATGCCAAGATATGAAAGAGACTATTATATATATATTATATATATAATACTATATATAGTATGGATGGATATAAAGTTTGGTAGACTAAAGGCTTCTTGTCCAGCTGTTAAGTTGACATAAAGTTGTACTAGTTTATTCTCTCTCTCTTCTCTTTATATATATATATATATATATATATATAATATATATATATATAGAACAATTCTTAATGTCAACATTAAGTTATTGGTCCACCAAAGTTTCTATCCACTCATATTTCCTAGGAATTCTGGCAATGATATGAAGAGTCTTTGTATACATAATAAATGAGTGGATAGAACTTTGGTGGAACAAATGATTGGTGTCCACTTAAGTTGACATAAAGATCAACTATATATATTATGAGTGATAGAAACTTTGCTGGACAAGGAAATTGGTGTCTAACTTCAGTTGACATAAGATCAACTAATATATATATATATTATATAATATAAATATATAATATATATATATATATATATACCAAGCTAGCACACACACACACACACACACACACACTAGTGTGCACCCCGTGCAAAGCACCGATCTTATTTTTATTTCTGCTGACCAGTATCTTATTGTATTTAAGTACAATTTTTGTAAGTCTACAAGTAACATTTTTAAATGCTACAATATCCCGTCTGAGCTACAGATAAGCTAACAGCAATGGTTTTAAACGGCTAGCAGTTTCGTCTGTGCTACATCAATAAGCTAGCAATGAGTATTTATCGAAAAAAAAAAAAGGCATGAATTAATGAACGCTTTGGATCCTCCTGTTCCTGTGTTAAATAATATACAAGTAATTTTACTGGTAGGGCATGAAATAATGAATATTGGATCCTCTTCCATTATATAGAGAATATATATATAATATATTATATATAATATATATATATGAGAAAAATGGTATGCTTTTGGTACCAAGCACAGATATAGAAATTTTTATGCTTAGTAGTGATGTGTCACATCCTCATCACTCACTACCCATGTGAATGTGGTCCCATATTTGAAATGAGTGGAGGGGGATGTGAAACAGCATCACTACAAGCACTATACTTTTGTGGGCTTGGTTACCAAGCATACCCTATATTGCTCTCTCGTCTCTCTCTATATATAATATATATATATATATATATATATATATATATAATTATATATATATATATATTATATAATGCTTCAAAACGCGTTTTGAGCAGAGCCTATTAGAACCTTTTTGAGACAATGCTAATTACTTAAATTTTTTCAGAAGTACAGTTCTTTAATACACTGGAGATGACAAGGAACCAAAGAGGGAGCTTTAAATCCTAAAACCATAGTAAAATATCCGCACTGTATGTTTATCCGGTCTTCTTTATATACTTTCAGAATATCTGCTGACACCATAGTATTTATATAACCACAACTTAAGAAAGCTCCGCCTAGCCCACAATAGGGCGTAACACTAGGTCTATGGTGGTATCTTTGGCCGACACCTACTAGCGCCTGGCGGTACTAAGGCTATCCATTCTAGATTTTGATAGTACCTAGGTGGTTTTGCCTCCCATGGAATTGCACGTTTTAGGTATTGATCGTGATTTCCTTCAATTATAGCCTCCACGAGTCCTTCAATCCTCCTCCAACTATGACACATCCTCTAACCTCCTCCCAATGTGTAGGCAAAACCCCTCCCATCACCACTTAAGA